AGAGAGCGCTGTACATTCACTCCCCCCACCTACAATCCCTGCCGGTACGAGACTCGAACCCACAACCTTTGGGTTATGAGTCCGACTCTCTAACCATTAGGCCACGACTTCCCCTTATAAAGATATAGTTCTAAAAATCGTTCTCAATATTAAAGGATAGCATAGTTCACACCACAACTATAACGAGAACGATACAGAGGAACGATATCGTTGTGATCAAAATGCCAAAAATGTTTTTTTTTTTTTACTGTAAATGACAGTACATATACAGGTGCAAAGTGTAATATAAATCTATATGGACGAATTCTCACAAAATGTCTCACCTGCTTTCATTCAATGCTCCTTCAGTGACCATTACAATGTCAACATGTTCACTTCCTTACACAATGGTCCTGTCTAGTTGTGCTCAAACAAGTGATTTGAAATTATTATTTTTTAATTAGTGGTTACCTAAATGTTTAAAAGCTAAATTTTAATTGTAAAATCATGTTCTAAATGCAAGTGTCTAATTTCTTCACCGCTTGTGTCGTTGCATTTGAAGACACTCAATAATATTAAGAAGTCTGGGCCTTCCTTTATATTTTGAATGTCTTGTTTATCTGGCTTTTATACAATTATAATTCTGACTTTCTGACTTCTGATTAGCAAAAGCAAAAAAGGCCTCTAACACTAGCTTGCTCTATTCTTTTTCTATTCTATCTGTTTTCTTTTTATTTATTATATGATATAAAAAACATCTTGCTACATGTACTGCATTAAGCTAATTGAGACTTGTTATAGCACTTGTATGTCATTGCTCCTTTGTTGATTTTGATTGCTTCCATTGTCCTCATTTCTAAGTCGCTTTGGATAAAAGCGTCTGCTAAATGTCTAAATGTAAATGCTTATCAAGGGCATTAAAATATAAAGGAATAAAGAAAAAATATTTTCAGGGTTTAAAAATGATCACCTTTATTGAAACGACTAGATCTCCCCCATTATGATTTCCTCAGGTCAGAGTTCAGATCTGCTGGCTCTGTGGATGATCTGATTGTAATTTTTTTTCTTCTTGGGTTTGTATTTGAGCAGCTTGCTAAAGTCAGTGAGGAGCCTTTCCTAGTAACAAGACACGTCCTCCATACGGAGATGATCCAGAATAAAGTTCTGGCCCCTAAAGAAGTACAGAACCATAAATATAAGTATTAGCACAATGTCTTAAAGGGATAGTTCAGCTAAAAAAAAAATTTCTATGATCATTTCCTCATACTCATGTTGTTCCAAACGTATATGCACCTTTTTCTTCTGCAAAAAACAAAAGAAGCTAGTCTGAACAATATTGGTAGTCTCGCATAGCCAGACCTTCAGACTGATGGCTGAAGGTCTGGAATCCATGGCAGCTTTTATTGGCCATGAGGCCGTTTGTCAGACATGTCAAACACCCAATCACAGGTCATTTCGTTCAGCGTCACGTTTTGGGGTTGTAAACACGACGGCTTTCTTCTTTCGTGAGGGGGTTTGGCGTCACGGCATCTTTGTTTCCAGGTGGAACGTTAAAGAACGCAACACACGTCTCCCGGAAATCCTATATAATTCAACCAATCCGATGACAACTTCGAAACTCCTGAAGTGTTTCCATTTTGTGTGCCATATGCATCAGACGTTCAGCCAATGGTCCGTGGGCGTGACATCTGAGGCTGAGACTAGGCATGGGCCGATTAGCAGTTTCAAGGTATACCACGATTTGAAAATTTCACGGTTTCAAAACCACTAATATTTTCTGTTATACCGTTCCTGCGGTATGCGCTCTTTTTCATGTCTCCTCAAAGACTGAAAGTGTAGGAATCCCTCAGGTTGAGTGCAGTGTAGAGAGTAACATGACCCTCCTCCTCCTGTTGGTGCGAGTGAGCGGTCAGTCACGTGTGTGTAGGACGGCTGAACTTAAGGAGCTGCTCCTGGAACTTATGCGATCGGCAACCGGCCGTTTTTTGTCTTATTGCAACTCGTCTCTGTTCCGGACTTGCACAAACTGCGTTGCAATGCAATCCTTTTCCAAAATGTAATTTATGTGAAAATATGAAGTCTGTAAACACCCGTTAACACAGGCCAGAGACGTTGGACGCACAGAGAAAAATACTGTAGCAGGCAGATCACTCACTGTTCATGATGCACAAACTATTGGAAGAAAATCCTCAATATTGATTTGGGGGTTTATATGAATGTGTTTCTGAGGGGAACTGACTGTCTTCAGAAAAGTTTAAGTGGTATTTTCTTTTCATCTCTTCTCTGTATAATTCACATTAAAGCAGTGTTTCAGCGCAGTGCTGCTTTGTTTACAGCGGTAACCAAGGAAACACTGTATCTGGTGTTCCAGAAGCACCTCCTGCTGTCAAGAGTAGCTGTGTCTCATTTAGAAGGCTGCGCTCTCCGGAGGTCGAATCCTCAGGAGGTCGCATCCTCTGTAGGATGCATATACGAAGTGTCTTCAACCTAGAATTAAACGAGATGGCCTTCGTAGGACAGGCTGAAAAGGAAACAGGAAGTATCACGTTGCTATGCTAACACATTTAGAGCATTGTTGCGCTCTCAAACTACTTAAATGAAGGAAAATTATTTCTAAATTTGGAAAGTAATTTGAAAAAAAAATGATTTTACTTGTTTTATTTAGTTCAATGTTTGAGGAGCTGCAGCGTAAGTACAGCAGACATCTGTTAGAGAAAAAAAAGGAGGAGGATATTAAAAACAAAGTTTATCCGTTTTTACCGAGGCGATTTAAGGTAAGTTGTAAACACCACATCTGCGCTTGTGTGTACATCTGCCGGCGCCGGCATTTTTCAAAGAATTGTGGGTTATCTGTAGCAGCGAAGGATACACCTCATGCATCCTCCAAATTCCTGTGAAAGAAGGTCGCATTCGGAGTGTCCTACTTGCTTTTCTGAAATGAGACAGCCTCGATGACGTATGCAGCCTTCGAATGCGACCTCCGGAGGGTGCAGCCTTCTAAATGAGACACTGCGAGTGAATCTGCATCTCATTCAGAGCTTCTGCTGTTTGCTTCATTCAGGCATGTAGTATAATTTCACAAAGCTAGTCAGAACATTCTGTCTTTGCTTCAGATTGGATTATTATTAAATCATTATTATTATTATTATTATTATTATTAAATCAAATTATGTATATCATTTATAATATATAATTTCTTTGGATAAAAGCGTCTGCTAAATGTATATGAAATTATATAACTAAATGATATGAAATGATATAAATGATATGTATATGAATTATATAACTAAAATTAAATAACTGTAATTACAGATTTAGGTTAAATAAAGATGTCAGTCTTTATTTTTCTTCTTTTTAGGAAACAAATCAAAGAAAAAATAAACAAATTCTACTGTTCCTAATATTCTGTATGTTGCTCAAAAACAAAATATATTGTGTTCTTCAGCGGGAAAATAATTTTTTTTTACCCAGTCATTTAAAAACAACTCATTTTAGAGCTGTAACGACAATACCGTGATATTTTTGCTTAAGGTTATCATACCGTCAAAATCTCATACCGGCCCATGCCTAGCTGAGACTACAATATTGGTAACCAGACAGTTTGGTTTACCATTGACTTCCATTAAGACATTTTTCTAAATATCTTCTTTTATATTCCAGAGAAAAAAAGTCATACAGGTTTGGAACAACATCAGGGTGAGTGAACCATGACAGAAATGTATTTTAAATTTTTTGGTTAACTAAAGCTGTCTATACCTGACAAACTAGAATAAAGGGTATACTCATTAAAAGGTTGAACAATTTGTTACCTTATAGCAATTTCTTCTGCTACAGCATCATTTTCTTTCACAAACTGAAGCAGCTCTCTAACAACAGAAAGAAAACCAGTTTAGATGCAGTTCTCTGCTGGTGTTCTCATTAACATTTCTATAAACACATTTCACTTGTTTGATGATAATTACTTTAATAAGTCTGGAACAATATGAGGGTGAGTAAACAATGACAACATTTCAGCTGAAGATTTTACACAGATTGCATACACAATATATCCCCTAAGTTTGAACATTTCCTTTTCCCATATATGCAAGACTGAAATTGCCACTTTGATTGCTATTGGTCATGTCATTTGATATAGAAATACATATGTAACATACTTTGTGAAATGCAAATTATTTTGAGCACAAACTTAGATTTGAACCCTTTGTCATTGTTACTTGGCTCATTGATAAAGCTTGGCAAAAGTGTTACTTTGTGTTACTGACAAAAACGACTGGAATACCTTACGTGCGCATGAAAAGACAAAGCCCAAGGTTCCCATTTTAGAGAACTATTTATTGTGTGTTAAAGAAAAGGGTGAATATCAGCTAGCCAGAGGAAAATGTTAAAGTTACCTGAGATCAGACAAGTCCTGTTTGACAGGAATGTAGTGAACCCAGGGATTGAGCTGAGGGTAGAAGAACTCAAGCCAGTCCTCGCCGACGTGAAAAAAACCAGCGATACACACAGGAACAGATGCTTTAAGCGGAAACTAGCAGCCACACCTCTAAAGTTAAAAAGGTATCTAAGAGATAGGGAGATCAGACAATCTATAACAAAATGTCTAAATACTAGTTCACTGACAGAGATCTGTTTCTGTGCTATAGCTCATGCAAAAGCAGAAGTGAGACAGGTCTTACTTGTATTCACAGTGGTCAACTAGGGGGATTTCTTTGGCAGGGGGTCTACCCAAAGTGTCCTGAGGAAAAACAACTAAACAAAAATAGTAGTTCTGATATGACAAAGTCTAGAGCAAAAAGATAAAACAAACTGATTTTGAGTTTTTTTATTTTATTTTTTTTTATATTAAAGCACCTCTAGCTTGGTCTAGATTAGTATTACCCAATCCTGTGCTTGTATGCCCCTCAAAATCAAAAGCAATAATGATACATATAAAACTGATGGGGTGCCCTGTTGAAATACAGCTTCACAGTAATAAACTGGAAATAGCAGAATCAATGATGCAAACTCAATTAATAAGACAGTTCAGATTCTCCCATAAAGCAGCTCTAAAAGTATTTTTCCTTGTTCCTTTTTGCTATGTTACATGTGAAATGTTTTCATATTATACAATGGGATGTGATATTATACATGCTATTTGTTGACAATAAAGCATTATTAAAAGAAAAAAGAAAACCGTGTCATTACTTAGCTCCAGTAAGTTCAGTGTTAGTTCATTTCAGTTCAATAACTATGTAAAGTTCATCAGTTAGGAAACAAATTTAATTCCAGCACTACAGAAGACAAAAGTGTCATTATCCAGTTTAATTCAGTTCAAGTTTTGTTCTCATCTGATGGTGTCAGTCACTGTGGTCATATCGATACATTTCTGAAAGTTAAGTGTCTTTCAGGCCCCAACTAAGAAAGACAAAGCCAACAGCAGCAAGGCACCCAAACTCCATTGGATGAGAGAAATGGAGTAGAAAAAAGGGATGCCAGAAACCAGGCTCAGACGGGGGACCAATTCAGTGGCCTACGCAAATGAATGTTGTGATACTGATCGAGGATGCCTTTTATATGTTAAATAAGGATAAACAAACCTTCTCTGACTTCCAGGCTTGGTTCTTGGTGTACTCGGCATCCACAAGGTCAGGGGCTTCTCTTGAGAGAAGGATCAGAGGGTCCCTTTCTGAACTGGTCCTACAAATATTGGCAAAACTGATCAGCTTACCCTGAAAACAACACTGCATTTAAGTGTATGTTGGAGACACAACTGACCTAGAGCCTCTAAAGAATCCTTTTGGATTTTTTTTCTTCCAGGGCCATCGAGCAGCTGATCTGAAGAGTGTGAACTAAACATTAGAATATATCTGGCCTGAAATCGACTGTAATGCAGTTAACTCTCTGTATATTCTCAAGCATTCTTAAATCTCTGGTTCCCACTTTTTCAGGTCATCCCTCATGAGGTCCCATCGGCCCAGTCCAGTGGGGTAAATGGGCCATACAGCAGGACCTCCCTCCCAAAACGTCCATGCAGGGTACATGATGTCCTGGTAGTCTGCTGTCTAAACCATGAACACAAGTATAACTATGTTAATAGACATTAATACAATTAGAGCCCTACTAATATTAATTTTGTTGTGGAAATAAATGAACCATGCATGTTTTGAATGTTGAAAATAGGATTTTCTATTCATGCATATTCTTTTACAAAAAAAAAAAGAAAAGATTTTTATATATTTATTTTCTGCATTAATAGAAAGTGAAGCTATGGGGTCAGTCAGTGATAGTAATCTGAAGGCAGAGGCACAATGTAAATTGCCTTAATATAATTAAGCATGATATAACATACAGTATACTACTAATATACCATAAAATCAAATTAGTAGATTGTTTAATGACGATATAATGGGGTGTGGCTGTACACACCTTACTGAAAGAAAGTACAGGCAAGACTGGCTGAACCCATCCAGGAACCTGTGGATAGTCACGCACACTAATCACCACTTCCAAATCTGGCAACCGGTTAATCGCTTTTAGGATGAAGTGCTCGACACCACTGCATCTACAAAGAAAGGATAAATGTCTGATATTCAACATCCACACGCACACGATAAGATCATGGTTTTACTTAAAAAAAAATATATATATAAAAACATTTAACAGTTCACCAACCTTGCTGGAAACATGCAGCTTTGTTCTCTGTACAACTTGTTCCCGATGATCTGGTAGTGCGTACCAACACCTCTGTGGACCGTGTCTGCCATCAACCCCTCAGATATACCGTTTTTAAATGGCCTAAAGTCATCTTTTAAGACACTGCAATCAAAAGAGCGATGGAGGAAACTCTACATTATTCAGCTCTATGCATCTGCAATGTGTGTATTCTTTGGTAAGATCTGCTATGAACAGGGGCGCCGCTACCAAGTGAGGCACAAAAAAATGAGGTTGGGCCGCCTACCGGACCAAACATACAAGCAAACCTAGTTATCCAAAATCTTTGTCTGCAATTTAATAATACTGATCTATTACTTTTGCTATTGCTTTTGACCACTAGGTATCAGTATTTAGTCAGAGACCTACCCATAGCCGTGGAATATATTTTATCTGGGGCTTGATGTTGAAGGGCGGGCCGCGGTGGGGGATTTTAAACAAAATCCTAATATTAAACAGCCCAAACACTTATAGTTACACAAATTAATGAAGACAGTTATATGAGAATGAATATTTATTTGTGATTTTAGCTCAATAATATTTTTTTCTTTAATATATTTATTATTTTAAGGGGATTTTACTAAGTATTTACCCCTAAATTATGCACCATTTATCATCTGCAGTATCAGGGTGCAACCTCTAGATGACTGTATATATATAAATACACATAAACCGTTTAGTGCACAGTTAAAACATAAAGCACGTTACTTGTATCAGGTTATTAATTGATGTATTTTGAGACATTATTAAAGACTACATCTAGCAAAAGTTGAAATTTAAATGTTGATTTAAAGTGTCAGTTATTATTATTGTATTATTAAATTTATAATTTCTATTGCATTACTACTAGTACTGTTACTGCTAATAAAACAGATCTCTGGGGGCCCCAAAAGAGAACAGAAACTCACATAAGTCCATAGGTTGACAACAATTGGACATTCCCAAAACATGTGGAGAAAAGTACCTGATGATACAGTGTTACAGATATGGCAGTTATCGGTCGACTGCAGTTTCATTTTAAACCTCTTGTAAGGAGTTATGTATGCTCTATGGATGACTTTGAAATGGATAAGACGATGAGCCTAGTTTTTAGAAGTTAAGATTAGATTAGACCACACCCTCTCCCAGTCGATCGATAAGTCAAAATCTCTTAATTCACGATTCCAGATAGGTTTAATAGAAAGAGGCTTTGCAGTGTGATCATTAAGTTTACTATATATTAAAGAAACAGATGGCCAACCAGAGGGTGGTGTGATCCAATCCCACATAGGATGAGAGGAAATGAACAAGGGCTACTTATTATATATTTGTGAAGTTGACCTGAGATGACAGCTGCAGTTCTCCTGATTGCATGGCTGGTAATTATTTGTGACTTCTGTGATCTTCCTGATGAATGACTGCCAGCGTTTGGCTGAAGGAAAGAGAGAGAGAAAACAACTTTCAGAAAATCTGTTCATTCAATATTTATTCTAAACACAGATCGTAAAATATACGAACTATAAAAGTAAGACATGCTGTATTTTCAAAACAGGGGTTTTGCAGGTTTTATGAAGGTAAATTTAAGACCAAGAAAAGAACATTTAAAGGTCCCCTGAAATGCTTAGAAACACGCAGCGGTACTCTATGTGTTGAGGTCATTTGAACTGAAACAGGAAGACAGGGCGGGACATATCAAGCAGCCCCGCCCCCTTTTAAAATAGCCAATAGCGTTCGTTTATATCACAGCTTGGGCTAGAGCCGTTGAGCTCCTTAAAGCCGCTTTTGACAGGATATGACAGCCACAATCTCATCCATATTGCTATAAAATATAGCATTCTGTGTAGAATTCAAATAGCTCCGATACATTTTGAGGTCTGCGCCGACTCGCGCATGTGATCCGCTCCGTGCTCTTGTGTCTTTGGACCGGAGCAGAGTGTGTGTGCACGTGCGGTGGTTAGCATGAAACCAGACTTCTTTTTTTCCTCAATGGAAAGCATATTTACACGGTTTGAATTGTTCCCTGTCCCCTATATAGTGCACTACGTGGCATTCACTGTACAAATGACCGATTTCAGCTGCGGCTTTAGCGTCTATTTTATAGTGTAGGGGGCGGGCGCTTCGGATTCTAGAGAGCATTTGATTGGACAGAAAGTCTGATGAGAAGCTGAAGTACGATGTGACATCAAAAAAATCATTGAGCCGTTTTGGCGGAAGTGACGAACTGCAAGCTTTGAACGCTTATATCTTCTAAATGCGAATTTTGTCACTGTTTTGGAGCACACTGCCTATAGATAACCTTAAGACTAACATATTGATACTAACACCCAAAAATCTTTAATTTTGATTTCATGGGGACTTTAAGGAATACATTTAACAGAACACAATATATCAGTAGGGTCTCTAAATGTAAATTTATTTTATAAGCAATACTTGAAAGTTTAAAAATGCAATTTCCAACCGATCTCCATTACTTTTTAATGCATTTTACAACAACACAAAACCCTACACCTTATGATCACACTGCAAAAAAAGTAAAATCAATGTTCTTCCTCAGTAATTTTGTATTTTTTACCAGTACAAATGTCTAAATCATGACACATTTACTTGAGAAGCAAAAGGGCAAATGATATTAAGTCTTGTTTTCTGAGTAACTGATCAAAATGAAGTGAGTTTATGATTAAAACAAAAAACATTATTTGCCAATGGTCTCCGAAAAATCTACCTAGTTCAAAGGAGAAACGTGTCTTTCCCCATTGAAAGATATTCATTGTTTTAAGCATAAATACTTAATTTTGTTCTCAGAAAACAAGACTTAATATGATCAATTCGCATCACAAGTAACGTTATGTATCTTAATTTAAGGATGTTTGTATTTTATATTGCAAAACAAGACAAAAATACTGAGGAAGATTTCATTTTATTTATTTATTTTGCAATACACAAAATATTTAATGCCATGCCTTTATAAATGTAAGACTTCCAAAAACATCAGTAGAGGTCTAAAAACGTCGCTAATGCTAAAGACGCAGGTACAGAAATCCACAGTACGCTATTAAGAATCAGATGTGAAAATTAACTAATTAATGGGCGACCGAACAAAGATAGATAATTGTCAGCATCAAACCAAAATTCTATGAGTTCTCACCGTTATCTGAAAGACACAACTCAATTCCATTCAGCAAAAGGATAAAAGACGGCATGAACAGCCATGGCAACTCCATTTCTCTGCATCAGTTTAGCGTGACTGGCTCGATTTGAGGAGAAGTCGATGAATGTAGTAGTATGGTCTGCAAGTATTCATTTGGCCTTTAGATCAAATGTTCTGTAAAGGTCAGATGCCCCTGGGGGTTTCTTGCCCCATAGGGGATCATTTTTGCCTCAATGGTGGGGCAAGATGGCTCCCTTTCATATTTTTAATTTGTGTGCCATTACAACTAAACTGTTAATTGTTTCAATTTGATTTCCATAATAGTCTGTTGGGTGATGCATAATGATCCGCTACATGCTAAACATATAAATGTGTTACAGTTTATCAGTATATGGACATTGTTCTTAAGGGGGCTTCTTTTCCGTCTTCCCCTAAAATAACACTGGTCTAAACCTAAATCTAGAGATTATGGTTTCTCTTTTAATTCTTCCTGTTATTCTACCTAACTCTGAATTTATTTGAATGCTATTAAACTATTTGTTCTATCTTCCTCCCATTGTTTTTGACATCTGCTCCTCCTTTGTTGTTTAATTATGCTCGTATTATATTTAAACTTTATACCTATATCTCTTTTCTTTGCAAAGTTGCAAACTTTTTTTCTGAGAGTGTACCCTAACTATGGATACATACTCTTTGTCATGTGTTCAGGTGACCTATAATGTGATTTTTGTCACAATGATTATCATCTACATGTTGAGAGACTTGTACTGTTATTCCCTATGGTACTTATGTCTGTCCTCTTTTTCTTCAGATCATGATTTATTTTTAGCTTTTAAATGACTGGGTCGCTAAAAGAGGCCTTAATTCACCAGGCGAATACTCTCTGGAATATCTATCAAATATCTTATCCTATCATGTCTTTGCCTAATTGTTGGGAAAAGGTGAGGTTGCAGAATGAGGAAGAGAACATAAGATGTTTTTCAGTGTTGAAGTACTACACATTGAGTCTCATTTTATTGGTCAGGCTCATTGTCCTGCAGGATCTTACCTGGACTCTTTCCATCAGACTCTTCTTTTTATTCACCTGTTTAACCATTGCTACTATGCTGTCCATCTGGCTTGTCTTGGTTTCCTGCATAGATTTTCTCCTGTACTCTTCTGCAGAGGAGGGTCTGGAGTTTCCCAGTTTCGATGGCAAGGACAGAGTTCTTAATGTCAATGAGAGGAACTATAAGAAGGCATTAAAGAAGTACGACATGATGTGTTTGCTGTATCACGAACCCCTGCCTTCAGATAAGGAGCTCCAGCAGCAGTTTCACATGAGGGAGATGGTTCTGGAGGTAAGAAATTATTGAGAGAAAGAGGCGAGTGAGCAATTTAGTGGATTAATAAGAACAGATATATTGCTTGGTATACTTTTAGAACAGACATATGACATACATGCATGCATATGTATTATGATGAACATTTATTTGGGTGGGAGGAGGTTTCACGTGGTACACACAACATGTTGAAACTGTTCAGGATTTTTTTTTAATGATCAATTTAAAATGAATTTTAAGACCCCTGAATACCCTTTGTGTCAATGTCAATACGTTTTTCAAAATATCTGGTAGTTTCACATTTTCTGACATGACAAAGTTAGTTCAGGCTGTAAAATATTTTGATCTTTTTAAAAAATATATTGCAAAACCTAATTTGAATGGTTAAAATGTGTACACAAATGTTTTCAAGGTGTATGAAAAATATGTATCAGTTTTTACTTGATGGTCATGTAAGGTTAATTACATTTTTTAAATAAAATTTTTATTTAAAGTGGTATGAAAGGTTTTGTATGATATAGTATGATACAAACGTTATATTTATACCAATTTTGCATGCATTTAAAAGTACTTTTTTTTTACAATTTTTTTTCTTTTTGTTGTTTGTTTTTACATTTTGGACGCTAGCTGTTTGTCATTGACCCAGTTTCAGTGTTTTTTTTACCCAATTTTTTTTACCTATAAGTGATCCCTGGAACATGCATAAATACCCCTCGGTTGGAAATCAACAACTTAGAAAATATGCTTGATGATACTATATCTGAGAAAGGCTCTTCAAGATAAGCAGCTGTGAAGTACTATAACCTGAATATCCAAAAAATTTTAAGATGTTTGCTCCATATAAAATGTATCAGAGTTACAATTGACTGCACCAGGGTGTCAGACTGCACATCTGCTTTCTGTGTCTAGACAGTACCTGATGTGCAATTTAGTGTGAAGACTGACCTGATTTGGAGGCTGACAAAGGCTCCACAAACACCAGTGCTGGGTCTGCTTATGATAAAGTTGATCAAGTATAGTTTCAATTACGCAGATATGAGCCATACATTATACAAAACTGATCCAGACTCCTTAGATATACTGTGCAAGTGTTGCTCCATACTGAATTGCTTTTATAGACAACAGTATATACTGTAATTCTCACAGTATGACGACTCTCTTCCATGCATCACCAGCTTGCTGCTCAAGTTCTCGAAGACAAGGATATTGGTTTTGGATTGGTAGACTCACATAGAGATGCTAAGGTTGCCAAGAAGCTTGGTAAGAGGCTTTGTTCCAATGAGTCACTGTAATAATGACATTACTTTTTAGATAATAAAGTTTTCTTTCTTTAGCATTTCAGTAACAAACACCCAATATGTCTTGGTATTGTTGAGGTGTGACACACAGCATCCTCACTGAATCATGTGATCTTTGTCCATTAGGTCTGGAGGAGGAAGGAAGCATCTATGTGTTTAAGGATGAAAGAGTGATTGAGTTTGATGGAGAGCTCTCTGCAGATACACTGGTTGAATTCCTGCTTGATGTGAGCAAAATTTGCTGAGCTGGATATGTGTCGGGTCTCTGTCTGCAGCTGTTTTTGTGATTTCTTAGCAGAGCATATACGATTATACTTCTTCAATTACAGCACAAATGTATAATAAGATTCCTGTTTTCGATCACTATTATTGTATTTTATAGTTACTTTTTGCAAAAATATAATTTTAAATAGTACAAAGTTTAGGCTAAACAACTTTGCTAATATGGCTCTCTCACTGCAAAAGTGGTAACCTGCAATTGTTACTTTAAAGAGTAATTTCTACATATTTACCCTATATAAAGTAGTTTTGGTGGTATAAATTAATGTATTAAAGTTGATTAAGCAATATTAAATACATTTACATTTTTTATTTCATTGATGTTATATATTTCTTATATAAATAATATTTTTGACTTAATTTCCCAGTTAATTTTCAGTGCTGTGTGTTTCACATTCTTCAGCTGCTGGAGGACCCAGTGGAGTTGATCAGTAACCCAATGGAACAACGTGCCTTTGAACGAATGGATGAAGACATACGCCTAATCGGCTACTTTAAGGGTGAAGACTCTGAACGTGAGTTTGCTTCCCAATAAACTCTGCTTGTAAAATTATGATTTTGCTGCTATGCTCTAATCAGTAGTGTGTGTAGGCACCATGCAAACGACGCAATTGACCTATCGGTAAGCCCCTCCCCTCGAACACAGATGAGCCAATGGCAGTCGAGTATCAGTTGCACGGGGAGCGGAACTCGGACATCTTTAGGTTTCAGCACCTTTCAAGCGGTTTCAATAGCTGCTCCCTGATGCCCGCAATTTATATACAGTCGCCTATACTTACCCAATGATATAATTGCAAGAAAAAGTATTTAATTTTTTTTATCCTCCCATCTCGTAGGCTATTTATTCATAGGGGGTGGGAGGAATCACGATGTCAGCTTAACACCGTGATGTCTGTCAGCCATCGGCGATGGACGATGGCATCGTCTATCGGCCCAACCCTAGTGTTTATGCTACAAAAATGGAAAAACAATGTGCCAAGGGTACTTTTATCACTAATTTCAGGTATCCTGAGAGGATAGGCAATGTAATTTATTTGATTCCATTTCCTAAATCCAACCAAAACAAAGCAAAATGTCCCTAAGCATTCACCCCAATCACAATAAAGACAAAAACTTTCATTTTCTGGTTGTCATACTCTCATTAAATTACACTTTTCATCTTCTCAGGCAGAACGTTAATGCTATCTTGTGCTTCAGCAATGTATCTCTGGCTAAAACTAGCTAACATTAGCGTTAAAGTTAGTGAGTCCATGCAAACCTTAATAGCGAACTGTTCTCACGTCATGCACCATGCAGTGAAAGTCAAAAACATAAACAAAGGTCTATATTAGAGTGCCTCTCCATATTAATCTGGTTAAATGTAAATTAATTTAATCTTACTTTGCGGTATATGAACGGTGTTGATCCGGGATGTTGTCATTGCGATCACGACGACCATAACATACTTCTCCCGTTTGCATTGTGATCTGTATTTTTACATATTTATTTTAACATCTTTTATATATCCCTCCATGGCATATTTAAGTCCCACTTGAAGGTCCATCTGTGTCCCAAATTTATCTGAAACACCTCGGAAGAAGGTTTTCACTGACAGCTGTAAGACATTGTAAGACAGTGAGCAACTCTGTTTGTTTGTCTGAATGAGCAACAGTAACTATGATGGGGCGGGGCTTAGGATGAGGATGAGGATCTGGCAGAAAGGACCCCAAGATCAAGGGAAGAGCCGGGGAGGAGATGATGGTGGGAGGAGCCAAGGAGGAATTGTCAGCAAAGGGGGGAGGAGCCATGGTGTAGTCAGGAACCCGACCAACTGAGGTGGAGACATGGGTGGCAGAGACCCAGGCAGAACTAATGAGCCAAAGACCCAGGGTGACTCCTGAGGCTTTGAGGGCCAAGGCAGAGGCTCAGGCTCACAGGACTGAGGTGGAGATGGAGGCTCAGCAGGCCAGGCCAGAGCTAGAGGGTGTGAGTACTGAGGTGGAGTTGGAAGGGGGAGCCCGGCAGAACAGGAGGGATGAGGCACAGCCAGAGGACTGGAAGACCGTGGTGGAGGCAGGTCGACAACTGACCAAGCTGGAGCCAGAGGGACAAGGGAGCCTGGTGGAGTCCGAGGACTGACAGAACTCGATGGAGCTGAGGGAGCATGAAGCCCAGGGGGAGCCGAAGAGTCAGA